ACTGTTATTAGCTTAGACCTGAGATGACAAGATGTCTTAGCATAGAAACTGCATTATGCCTTGCGGCATGACCATTGGTATCATTATATGAAATATTAATTTGAACTTGAATAATTTATTTTCTTGCATTTGTTCAATAATTTGTTGAATTAACTCCTTTCTGATTGATTGTGAACATACTGGTTCGAAAAAATGTGTTTAAACAAGTCATACATCGATATTTCGAAAGTTGTTTGATTCCGGGATAATCCCGGGATCGAAATTCGACCCCGGGATTAAATCCCGATCCCGGGATTGAAAAACCATCGGGATTTTGTAAATCCTAATATATATTAATCAAAGTATAATATTCTTCGGCAGATATTGTTAGTTTAGCTGTAATATCCCATCTGCTAACTCTCTATAATATATTCTCTCATCTTTGCTGAGCAAGGTGTTGTCGCATTCATTGATTTCTGCGTTTCGTTCCGTAGTGTTACCTTACAATTAGAGGAATTTGATACGGGACAAAACTCCATAGAAATCTACATAAACTTCATTTTAAGAGCTGACAAATTTTTGTATGGAAAAAGTGGAACTCTGAAAAGTACATTTGTTTTGATTAGAAGAATATGCGTTTTGGACATAAAGCAATCTTTTGGCTAAAAAAATGGTTCGAATGGTCGCGAGGACAAACTTTCGCTCGCCTTAAGCGCAAGAATGCACGAATCTCGACTTTCATGATTAGCTTGTTCCCAGCTTCCAAAGCCGTGCATTTTTGTATGGAAACAACTTCTGCAAAAGTTCCCCGAAAAAATTATCTTGAAAGATCGCGCCATCTACACTATGGTCTTAGGCACCTTCGCAAAATAATAATTCACCAAGCGATCTTTCAAAATGAATTTTTGAAGCGAACTTTCACATAGATCGTATCTAGATCGGAGTGCACCTTTCCGAAAGATAAAAATTCGACAATTGTGCGATGTGGTGCCTCGAGGCAAAATTCAGTTGACCAGCTAAATAAGAAACCAATTTTTGAACAGAAATTTCGCACGGATTGTTTTCAAACGAATTGGCATATTTTTCTCGGCTAATCATAAAACATTTGAAAGTTCAACATTCGAAAAAATTTGTCACCCTGATTTATTTGCTTCAGACAACTATACTAAATTTCATCAAAGGTGTACATTTCTTGCAACAGTGTTTATAACTCTTTCTAAGTTGCTTTCTCAAAACTTCATGATGTTCGTATGAGCGCTTCAATTTCATCGACACAGTAAATTACTTTCTTTGATCAAAAAACCTCATCGTTTTCTCATGAAGCGCTGAAGTTCGCCATGAAAGCTGATTTGTTGAAATTATTACTGTTGTCAGCATCACTAAGTGAGAACAAATGTTCTCGTTTGTATAGATCACGAGGAAACTTCATTGATTTTTCACTAGTTGACTCCATTTTAGATGTTGAAGAGTTTATTACCACACAATAAAATCGACTGTGGAGCTTTCCTTTGTGCTCATTTATGTTTATTTCCTTCCACATTATTATTCGAACTAAATATCTGCTTTTATTCTACCGAATTCTTATTTTATAATACAATATCTCTGTCTTCCTCGCTTCACTCCAATCCTCAGCATATCCCTTCAAGCAGTATTTATATGACTATACATTTTATTATCTGTACAAGTGTCGTTTGAGGGGGCTACCGCGAGCGTGCGCACACACACAACAGCACTATAATGGTGATGCGCAGTAGGCGTGGCCATGAACCGAAACAGTTGCAATCACACAGCAGGCATAGCCTGAACCCTAGTGTAAGGTTAAGGCCCAAGTATTAATGACACATTTTAGGTGCTTATGGTGATAATAACAAACAAGGCGATTTGCCTTCCTCATTACTATCACATTAGTGAATGCCTAACGGCAAATTTTTATATGCTTATAATGATAATAATATAATGATAACTGTCACATTAGTGAATGCCTATTTATTACATGATACAATAGTTTCGTATATTGTTGCGTATTCGTGGATTACAGGAGAATATTTTTTGATTGATGTTGCGTTTGATGCATTGAACAATAATCGATGAAAAAAAAGCGTGACGATATGAATCACAAGTGAGAGATAAGAATTTGATTAGATTTCAATAGTTGCAAAAGAGGGTGTAGGTGAACTGTATTCATTTCTGACTGTGACAGTTTGACATGAAATATGGTTGGAGTGCGAGAGCATTCTCGGCGTTGCTGATCGAATCGAATTTTATTCGGTCGAAACTCAACCTAAACAATCCGATAACTTGCGGTTCCACCGAATGAATTCAGGTCCTTTCGCTGCCCCATCGCGAATCTTCAAAACTCCAGTCCTCATCGAAAAACCGAATTTCGTTCTTTCAATATCCAGCAAATGCCACTCGACGGGTTAATAAGAATGAAAACTCGTCTACTGATTGGTTGCTGATATAGGCGAATCAAATCGGATTGAGAGACAAATTAATGACTTTATGACTGAACTTCCTACTGTTACTTATGATCTTTTAGTATCCGTGACCTTCATTGAATAAAATCCTTTTCTCGCATAAGTATTCTTGCAATGACGCTAAACATACATCATTAATATCTTTTCAATTAATTTCCAGTCTCACTATCTATTACATACCGCGTACTTTTTGGTATCGTTCACTTACTGTTGTTTTTTTGAATGATTAATTATATAACGTTAATCTGTTTCCACTCTTCTTAATATTAGTGGTCAAGGTAACAACGTACATCTGCGTAAATGCGTAGCACATTCCTTTTGTAAAAATGTTACTTGTAGCAGTGATGATATAAAATATTTCGAATTGCCACAATATCGTAGTATAATGGAGAAGAATCGATAAAGCTCTGTTGCTAGAGCTAGAATATGAGGAGGAGGTTACATGTGGTTATTGGATGTGTATGTACGCTTACGTGATATAGAATGTAAAAGAATTATGAAGCATATAGAGAATATGGTGAGTAGAGAGCATAGCAGTAGTAGTATGAGTTGTGTTACGTTGTATGTGGATGTGAATGTATATGTATTTTGCTGGTTTGGATTGATTGGATTTAGGTGCTGATAAAGCTGTTGAGTGTTGAGTGATGCGATGGCTAAGCGGTTGCTTCGCTTTGTGGCCTTTATTTTATCTACAACTTCAAGTCCTCACTCAACTTCTCAAAATTTGAATTAAATTCTTCAAATTCCCTTTACTTTCGACCTTGTTAATGATAAATCGGATTGAAACAGCACAGGTAGATTTCTCATTTAATTCTTGCAAGTTTTCATCGTTGGTGACAACTCTGTGTCACTTAAACATCACATGAAAGAACCGTTAATGTCACGGTCAAGATGAACGTTCCTTACAAACACCTAATGATAATACAAGTTATCACTACAAGTGTTATCATCAGTAACCAAGTTGGTACTTTTGCTGATAACGGCCGCCACCGCGCCATCACAGATGCTCGTGTGCTCATACGCTTCACACATAAGTCGAAGCCCATGCGTTAGCCTCATCACTGGGCTAAACGTAAGTCTAAGCTTAAGCATACTGCTGATTTGACTTCGAATTACATATATACACATGGGGCGAAGTGGTAATCTAAGCATATGCACGCAGTGGCGCATGTTACCGGCAAAAGTGCCCTTCATTTATTAGTATGCAATGCGTGATACAACGTTGTAGGTTTTATGATGCCTCGTTTAGCTACATGAAGTTTCGCTATTATTTTAACGTGAACGTACGCTTGTTCACGTGCACCCCATCCGACATGCATTTATAGTACCATATGTAATCATCAGTTTTTTGCTAATATTATTCAATGCAAAATAATGTAGCAGTATAAAGGAGGGAAATGTGAACTGTTGCATTCTAACCTGATCTGATATGCTATAAGTTAAGATCTTGTATGTATCGTGATAATAATCAATTGTAACATTTTTTGACTGAAACCCAAAAACAGTAGATTGTTGTTTGTTATAATGATCACTAAGAACGATATTCACCAAGTATGATGTAATGGGTTGAGAGAGCCCTCGTTTTCGGTCGAGCTGTTGTATTCTAACCTGTTATTTTCCTAGTCTTTTAAGTGCTCCTCATTCATCGCGCATTCAAAATATGCCATGACGAACACATTCTCCATCTTTCTTCCTATGCAGTTCCCTCAAAGTTTTTCTTTCAACTATATGCGACTTTCGTTTGCTGATATTTGATAAATGCTCTTGTCGATGTTCGATTTGTTGCGTGCATTGCATGCTCTTCATATTAAACGTCTGTTTGGTCGGTATAAAAATTTGTTAACGGAGAAAGTGATACCTACAATTTCAGAGTGAATGGCAACCGGGGGCGGCAGTGAGGAGGCGCAGCTAGCCCAGTGCCAAGCTTATGTTCAGCGACACAATATCCAGCAATTGGTGAAGGAGGCTATTGTCAACTTATGCATCCATAAACCTGAAAATCCGATTCTCTTCCTCAAGGAGCACTTTGAAAAGCTTTGTGAACAGCAATCGCAGGTTTGTCAACTGATTACTTGTCATCGCCGTGTATATGTATGTATGAATGCCGAATGCATGCTAACACTCGTCATTGAAGATTGCAATTTTGTTGAGTTAAGATGTATATTCGATATTGTATTGTGATATTTATGCTTTTCATTGCAAAGTTCAACAGAAGCGTTATTGCCGTATGGATATGGAACATGGCTGCATTTGAGAGGCACAAGTCCCTTTGAAGATTATTTCTCGTTCTGTTGAGGAAAATGAAGTTGGCTGGTTGCAGCAGATAGATGATAGCTGCTTGATGGGTCGATTGCAACGAAATAGGGAAAGAAGAAGATAAGCAGGCATGCACGAAATGAAGAGATAATTGTGTGAAAGGAGATATGTGACGAGATAGATGTCTTATCGAGAACCATGAAAAAGAGGCATCATCAGAAAGGCAGTGGCAATCTTATAGTGTTGATAAAACATGTGTGCTGGCATACCAAGCAACTTTTAATAGGTTCAAATCAAGAACGAAGAATAGCATGCAAACAAAATGATTGTGTCGAGTCGAGTCAGTCGCTCACATGAGCAGCGATCACGATAAGGATAGAGAAGTGGAGGTTATGCGATAGGTAGGTGTTGATAATGGTGTTGTATTTCGGCACTGAAGAGAGCAAGAAGGAGTAGCGAATGGATCATCGATTTGCATTGGTGTATTCGAATGGCTGATTGGTTGTGTGGCTGGCTGGTTGCCTGTGTGGTATTCTTCGGTTGTATGTGTATATATTGATGCTAGTGCTGTCTGTTGATGTGTTATGCAGTGGTGTTTTCGTCCTGAATATTACATGATAATAATAGTGTCGGTTGGTTACTTGCTTGGCTAGCTGGTTGGGTAGTCGTGGTGCTGCTGATGCTAGTATAGCTGCTGCTACTCATATTACTGGCTGTGTGAATAGCTGTTGGTTGTCGTCGATTTAATAAAAGTAAGCATAAACATTCGTTAGTGAAACGAGAACGAATGCGTATGGAAGAAGTGAAGGGGCAGTGTCGTCGTGTTCTTACCTAAGCAAGCACCACTTTAATACATCAAACAGTGATGGGTCAACAACTAAGCCGACGGCGACGTCGTACGACAAGCGGTATTACAAGTGGCGATGTTCAATCGAATATAACTGCTGCTGCTGCAGCAACATCCGATTCACCAGCAACTAATGCCAATGCCTCATCCACCTTGCAGCCGGTAATTATCTCTTCTGAGACGTCACTTTATACTTGATACTTTGCATCAGCATGCGCTTTATTGCGATTCGTTCATGTGATAGTAAAGACGCAAGTGTTTCTTGTCAGTTTGGTTTGATTTCCTCACTATGTGAGGAGGTTGTGTGATTGAATATGTAACACTGACGCAAACTGTATATAGTGATTGTCCGTTAATTTGTTTAGCATATTATTCCTTCGGTTGAACTGAAGAAAACAACAATTTAGAAAATGCAGCAAAACTTTGATTTTTTTTCACTTCAATTCGCTTTAGATGTAAATTCTCTATCACATGTAACTGAGGTTTGTATTGAAGTTACTTCGTTTATATTGAATCCCATTCCATTAATGCAGTAACATAGTGCATGTATCTGATTAAAAGAATGAATAATCATTACAGGACTCAAGTCATGGAGCTGAACCTATCGATGACGATGATACGATCGATGAACCACCAAAGTTGCCGCAGGGAAACCGGCGGCGACTTGGAGTGAGCGCTGAGGTCAGCGATATTCTCATATTTTCTTTCTATTTCGATATCTTAGAATTGTTGGAAATCTGTTCGGTTCTTATTACTTGTCTTTTACGTGATATTTTCGTCTGTCAAATTTTGGTTCAGTCATTTTTTTCATAGTTTATTGCGTATGAATTCAGCATGAGTCTGCGTTCTTGTTTCATCTGATATTTGCTTCAATCGAAAATTACGCGAAGAACCGTCGTATAACGTGAGCAAGGATTGAGGAATAACCAAAAGATTGGTTGTGATATGCATGCTCACGTTACATCTGTCAGCACAGTTACGGGTCTAAGTGTGCCTAACTTCAACAGCACTAAACAATAATTACTAGTCCGTGATTCATTTGACGACGGTTTCTTGCCACTGCCTCTTCCTGTTTATTTCGTTCTGCTTGACGATTTGTTGTTGTTCCTTTTTTTTTTTCAAAAATGGTAGCACATCGAGGTTGTGGGTACTCATCATTGATGAATCAATTCTAAGTCTCGAGCATTCCTATAAATTTTCTGTCGGAGATTCTTATCGAAAAGGCTGATATTGTGTGTGTATAATGAAAAGGCCTCATGATTTCATTATATAGCTATTAATTAAGATTTTTCTTTTCTAGAGCGTTCGCCTTCTGTTTTCTTGTTCCTAATTTCTTTTCTCATGAATGAATACTGTGCATCATTGTTGAGAAACTTGTTATCTCAAGTTTTTGATATTTGTTTTGTATATTTTCCATTATCGTTATTTGATAAAAAGATGTAATGTTATGTCACAGTCGTTGAAATAATTGAGCAGTTTTGGAATTTCATGCTGTTGCATGTGGTAGGTGATTCCCTTCGACAGAATTGTTGTTTTTGTTTATTGTTCGAGACTGAATCCAACGCGAATGCCGTTCAAAATCACGTTTATTGTTTTGATTTGTCTTTGCGTTAGAAACTGAAGTGAAATGAATTGCTGCTTGTGTTTTGTCACTATCGAGTAAATATGATTGATCACTTTGATCACCATCGAGTAAATATTCATTGTTTGTTTATATTTAGCGATAAGATTTAACCATTTTTTTGCTTTCGCATCAAATTAGCAATGAGTGAATTAAATTGTTCTTATAACTTATTCAGTGTTTCAGCAAGATGGAATGATGTCTCTGTTACTGTACTCTTTCTTGATATATTTCAGTGTCAGTAAGGTGTAATTTCGTCCTCATCTTGTCCGGTCCTTTCGTAGTCTAAACAAATGCATAATTACTGTAATGAAACCTAATGGTGATTCAAGGATGGTATTCAATCGTTCGTCAAGTTTGCTGTGAAATATTTACGGCATTGCCCGTCGAACAAAGACCTCTTACATTAGTTTTTGTATCTATTTCTGAATTTACATCTTGTCATTTTTCTGTATTTATTTACCCGTGTATGCACCCGTTAGACTAACAAATTTTTCAAGTTTCAGAAATTCTATGTACCATCTTCCAAAAATGTCTCTCTTTGACTAAGAATAACCCGTGCAATCGTTCGAAAGATAGCTGTACCAATTTTTTCGTTGCGCAATTTTCGGATTTCGGAATTCTTAGAGTAGTTTTCAGACCAAAGGACGTATTTGTCTAACAATGAGATGGGAACTGTTCTTTCCAAAGTTTCTTTTTCTATCCAAAAATTCGTCACTCTAGTGAGAGGTGTGTGTGTGTGTGTGTGTGTGTGCTGTTGAAGATACATTAATCAGTAGTCATTAAATTTGTAAAATGTAGCTCTGTTGATGGTGGCAAACGTTCGATTGATGCCAAGATGATTTTTTGAGGTTATTTTATATGTAATCAGGCTTCACTAGTGAACATTATAATTGAAACGGCATTTTTCATGCGAGCAAGTATGTATGGCTTTTCTCTAATGGCATTAGTTTGCATTTCAAATGAGTACTCTTCATTCTGTCACATGCGTTTGTGTGATAAGTTTTTTTCACATGCATCAGTGTAATGTTTGTGCTGTTATATATAAGCATGCTTTGTCATTTACCGTTAAAAAATTAGGAAAAAATTCATTCCGTACTCTGAAAACTCGTCATATGACCTGAATATATACTCTGTGAAATTGAGAACCGTTAACGCACAAATGCTTTTTTTGGATTTCGCTATTCATCTCCCAAAGCACTTTCACAAACAGTTGGTATCTGAATTGCTGTGGTTGTGTTTGCAATGACTATTCACAGATATCATACTCCGAACGAAGGAATTGAATAAATCAATCAAATGAGGCTATTTGATAAATGCTCTCGCTAACTATTTACCAGTCCTTGTTATACAAAGCGTTCGGTATATGTGGCTTCTCTTACACAGTTGTTTTTCGTTGTGTGAAGTGTGCACATCTGTTCCATTATTTACTTCGTTCAATTCTATGAAAATAGACAAATGCATACTTTAGAATGGAGCTGTTCTGCTGGGAATTCGTTGTGCAGTTGAGGGAGGAAAATTTTGAACGTGAAAGATGAAAGTACTTGAAAAATGAATGAAGAATGGTGAAGGAATGATGTTGAGTTGGATTGTGAGTTTGAGTTGATGTTGTAAACAATTGTTGGTTGAAGTACGAAAAAGTGAGATTTTCAAGTGAGTGCATTGCCGATTAATGTTTCATCTACTCATGGAAAATATTGCTGCCTTGGGGCGAAGAAAGTCGTTGACTGTTGAAATGAGATGTATTCAACTGCGTCGTCAAATTCAGCTTGTCACTGAATTGTGTCGCTTAATTAAACATCGCATTAACAATACGTCAAAATCGATAAACATGTGACGAATGTAAATCACAGTCCAAGTGTGTACAAATCATTCAGCAAACGATCATTCAATTGTATTCGTTTTTGCAAGCGATACCACAGCTTTTACTGTTCACATGTGTGGATAACTTAGTTGAGCTTGATCAGCACGTCCCCATGTGAATCTGGATCGAAAAACTGGTTTTCCTGTTAAACTCGCATTTCTCAGTGATAACTGATTTCTGAGTTCACGAATTGTGTTTTTTTTTCATTCAGCTTGCAATATTCTCTTAATCATATCACTTTTTAATTTGACGAAAATTATCAACATATCTTCAAAGTTTCGAATATTTTTATCACGCATTGTTTCCGTGTCTTTCAAAAGCAGTGAAATTAATTGTTTCCGGTTTAAAATGCTTTTAAACAATTTTTGCTCGTACGTTCAAATTGGATTCTGTTTTAAGAGTGCTGATGTGAATTAAAATATGTGAGTATGATGTGCACTTGAATGCGTTGTTATCACAAGCATTATCGTTGATGTTTGTTCATCATCTTTAGTGTCGTGTTTTCGTTTGTTCTCTAAGTTTACTGTCGTAGATTTGAGAGGAAGCCGCCAGTGCATCGTGTTTGGAANGTGCATCGTATTTGGAAAGTGCTGTTGTATTTGCGGTTGCGTTCCCGTTAGCGACTCTTTAAACTGATTTTAAGGTATGCCATAAATAATCAAATTTTTAAAGCTTATTGCATCGAACCAAATTTCAGAAGTATTCTCCTTAAAGTAGGGGTGATTTATTGAAAGTGCGTCGCTAATCGGCCGATCTATGCATGATTGATATTCATTGTCGACAATTTTCTATCATTCTGCCTTTTCATTCGCTTTTCAATTTGTGCTCAGGTAAGAGGATGTGCGAGCAAGGTGTTCTTCATCACGGTAGTTGGCTTGCTGCTCAGTAGTATTGTCTAGAGTTTGTATTACTCAAATGAAATGCATTGCATCTTAATGTCCTTTGGGATTTCGTTGAGTATTGGAGTAAAAGCATCACTCAAATTGAAAAATGCAAGTATTGATCAAAAGAATCATTTTTTGCTGCTATGAATCTTGGAAATGCAAACCAAATCTGACATTTTCTTCGTTCTTATTCTTTTATTAGTCTGATCTGATGGAGTTTCTTTCTTATGTGACTTTGCTTTAGTCATTCGGATGTCATGAGACTGTGCTGAAGAGAGGTTACTAAGTGAAAAGAAAGAAATTGGCATTTATAGTCAGAATGGAGGTGAAATTGATGTTGAGGTTTACTACCTATGTTTTATGTTTCTATCATTGCATAAACCCATATCTAATAATGTTTTGATGAGGATTGTTGGTCTGATTACTCCTAAATTAAATATTTTATGAATAGTAATATTGCTTATATTACTACAGGGTATTTCAACCTGGGTGCATGCACCTTTAGGGGATGAGATATGGTATTCCAGGGGATGCGAAATAAGATTTCATTTTTTAGGCATTAAAGTAGGCGAGAAGGGAGTTTAACGCATACGTGAGTGTGAAGTAGGCAATACTTTAAAAGTAATTCTCTCCGTTACGTTTCATTCTTAAATGAACTAATGCTGTAGGATGTGCAAAAGCATCCTAAAATTTTCTAGGGGGTGCGAGGGGCAATAAAGGTTGAGAACCACTGTATATCTATGAATAAAAAGTTTAAGGAGCATTACTAGTTAGAATTGTAGATTGAACGAATGAAGTTGATGTATGAATTTTCGTTTTTATTCATGAGTGATGTTCTTGTGCAATTAGCTGAATGCACGTTAAAATCAAGGCAAAAACTTGACGAATGCAGTAGTGAATATGTTGAAGTGCTTGTTGGAATGAAGCACATCATTCAGCATGCTGATAAAACACTATAAGCTTGGCTTTAGTTGTTGACATGATATGCGGTTGAGTTCCTATATGAGGCTGTGGCAGCTGCAACTGTCCAACGATTTTCTTAAATGGCGCTGAAAATCCTCGAGCGCAGTCGATGTTTATCATTAATTTTGGAGATGTCATTGATGATGCGTCCATTTTTGGTCTCATTTGTTTTCATGAACTGGCTAAACGCACAATAATTTTAAAGAATGCAGCTAATGGGTAATTTCTCAATGAAGATTAGTCAATAACAGAATCATTGTTATCTGTAATAAAAGTTTTCTCGTGGTGCATTGTCTACATCAATGATGGATTATGATCAGCTGCTGCATTGTTTTCGATGCATTGATAGATTGCAAAAAGCGCATCACAATTTTGTTTAGTTATCGTCACGATTCTGCTGAAGTATCATAAACTGTAATTAAATGGTTTTATGGAAACTTTTTAATGACTTTAATGCGTCCATGCTCGATGAAAGATTGTTTGAATTCAGGTACCAGACGAGAATGAGGCTGCTAATTATGATAAAGTTGTCATTCCAAAAGACGAAGAAACAAGAAGGGCGCTTGAAGCGGCGATGTGCAAAAATATTCTTTTCTCTCATCTTGAGGTTGGTTTTTTCTCTCAACTTACAATATGTAGCAAGTAAGTATGACATTATTGAGAGCTTCCTGATGATCTTCATATCAGATAAATTCATCGAATTGAACAGCTTATAAAGAGAATTGATTGATTATATGAAAGCAGTGAAGTCACCAGCTGATTTTAGGGTGATGAGAAGAAGGCCATTTTCGATGCCATGTTTCCAGTTGAGAAAAAGAAAGGCGAAACAATCATTGAGCAAGGCGAAGAGGGCGATAACTTTTATGTTATTGATTCAGGCGAGGTATGTTATTTGATGATAGATCATCATTTTCTATTGCTCTATTCGCGTCGTTAAGACGGTTGTTCGATGTGATTATGTCTAAGAGTGTGTTCTTCGATGTTGAAATTGTATAAATTCGTTGACACACGATGGGTGTGCGAAACCAAATAATATTTGACAGTTTTTTAATGTACGGTGCTCACGGCGGTATGAGTGTGTTGTTCATATCTTTTTCAAATGCTCAAAACGTGAAGCATCAAACCACAGATCTTACCATTGAGAAGTTCAATCGCGGAGTGTGTTTCTTTATGCTTGAAATAGAAGTGAGCATGATCATTTGTAACTGTTGTAGAACTTTCGACAAAATCAACCCTACGACGAAGTTTTCGAATTCAATTTTCATAATTGGTCGGCGAAGAAATGCAGTGTATTCGATGTGATTGATTGTGAATCAGTGATGACAGATTGTGTTTTTTGAGGTAGACGTTTTCGTGAACAATGAATATGCGGTTTCGATTAAAGAAGGTGGGAGTTTTGGTGAGTTGGCACTCATCTATGGTACACCACGTGCTGCTACGGTCATTGCCAAATCGGATATTGTGAAATGCTGGGCCATCGATCGTACCACTTATCGTCAGATCCTTATGGGTGCCACAATGCGCAAACGAAAGATGTACGACGAATTTCTTTCAAAAGTTCAAATACTTTGTAAGTGCTCTGCTCATTTTTCTTTCCATAACATACTGAATCTTTCATCTATCAATTAAGTCGAAACAGGTATATTGACGTCATAATGTTCATTTCCGTGTTGGGTACTACTAAAGTTTATGACTGTTATGGTTAAAATGATAATTTGTCATTTGAATTCCACTTCACTGCGTCAATAATGATTTAAAGCAAACTTGTAATCTGTAAGATTTGAGTTGAGAACAGAGGGGAAAAAAATTAGGTTACTCAAGAACAGACTATTTTTTGGATGTACCAAAGGAGCGAAAACTCATTCCATTGCAATGAGTTTTCTAAACGTTTTGAAGTCTTGAACAGTTTTACACTGTTCAAATTTGGAAAATCTTTCAAAATTCAGTCGGTTTTTAAATTTTATAATGTATTATTGCGTATTTTATTGACTGTTATTCATATTTTGTTGCAGCTGATCTCGATAAGTGGGAACGTGCCAATGTTGCGGATGCTTTGGAGCGTTGTGATTTTGAGCCGGGAACACACGTTGTTGAGCAGGTTCGTTTTGATATTTTTTTCTTTAAATAATTTGTGTAGATTCATCGTCAATTTACACGAAGAAATAATGTAATGTTGAACGATACCAATAATTTAGTAGAATGTGATGTTCGCGAATTGATGAAAGTGAGACGAAGTCATGCATTATTTTTCAAATATTTCGGAAATTTTAAAGGATACGTTGACTTTGTTCTGATATCAGCTATTGGCTGAAGTAATCCACGCTTTTTCTCAGCATCATAAAGATCTTCTTGAATGAAATTTCACTGAACCATTCACGTAGCTTATTTGAAATCGAAAACAATGTCCACAATGTTTTGATTTCCACTGTAATCTTGTTGACTTTCAAAGTAAAAGTCTCATGTTTTATCGTTTTATTTTTCAGTTTCGTTCTTCAGTTTTGTGTTTCTGTTCATGCATATCTCAGTTTTCAATAACCCACTGTTCCAGAATGAAAAGAAGTTTGTTGAATATCGTTCATTTCAGGGTCAGCCGGGTGATGAATTTTTCATTATTGTAGAAGGTGAAGCAGATGTTTTGCAAAAGCGCAGTGATGATGCGCCTTTCGAAAACGTCGGTCACTTGTCTTCTTCTGATTATTTTGGTTGGTTTTATTTGTATACGTTATACTTTCATTAGGGAAAAGATATTGATCAATGTGTAGCGAAAGAAAACTTATTTGAACGTCGTAGTAAATGTTTTATATTTTGCTACATATAAAGGGCGTTGTGAAGTGGTGATGACTTTTTGAATTGGTGTCTGTGTATTGTCAGTAGTATGATGTGACTTATCATGTTTAAGGTGAAATCGCATTACTGTTGGATCGACCGCGTGCAGCGACAGTAGTTGCGAAAACGCATCTGAAGTGTGTGAAACTGGATCGAGCTCGATTCGAACGTGTTATGGGACCGGTGCGTGAGATTCTGAAGCGGGACGTATCCAATTACAACTCCTATGTGAAACTTATGACTTAACGCGCGTTTGCATTCAAATATTCTTCGTCTTGGTTTCGCTGTGACGCTCATCTATTTGAACTTCTTCCACAGCACGGAATACAGTCATGCAGCTGCCGCATGAATGAACGCCTTTCCTGTTCGCATCGCATCGTCCTAGTCAAACTCAGTTATTAATTAATAACATCAAAAGTCCTCGCCCGTAAATTCCAAAAATTTTGTTGTTTTGCGGCTGGTCGACAATGCCATGCATGAATGGGTATGCGCTGTTTTGATGTTACATCCAAGAAATTTAATGTTTTAAAGTGATGAATAGTCTGATGTGTTGTATTTGTCAGCTTGTAATCTATTTCGTTTGCTTTTCGATTCGTGTAGGTGTGAAAGGAGTGAGCGCTTTTGCAGGGAGCAACAGCAAGCTTCATATTTGAAGAGCAGCTCATAAGGCATTCGAAGTACCCAATTTTGGCGCATCTTTATTAAGTCCCCTCTTGTGTGCCTCTATTTCTGGAGTAGCGATAGTTGCAGTTTCCTTGATTCATTCCCTTCAGAAAATCACCACCTCCCTATTGCGCTCATCCTCGTCATTGTTACAATAGTAAATCAGTTTGTTTTTGTTGCGTTCCATCTGCATTGTCTAGCTTTACATCTCCACTCCATCCGTTCTGTGATTCTTGCGCAGTTGAATCAGTAAAGTTCTCGTTGATGTCGTTCGTTTCTTCCTGATTTAATTTGGCTGCTGTCTCTTTCATTGTAGCTGTATTCCGTCAACAAATGTACGTACTTCATAATCACTTTAACCTATTTATAATGTAACTAGAAGTAACGATCAGTTCTTTCCGACAAATCCTATTAATATTGTCAATTGCTCCATAAATATAATAACATTATGTAAACTAATAACGATATTTATACATACATAAAGCAATGAATATATCATCATTCAGTGCGAAGAGTATTCTTCCATTTGTATCTTATTCATTTATTCAGTAATTATTCATTTTTCTTTTTCATACATGTCGATGTCGTTTGTAAGGTGCCGAGTATAGTTTAATTTTTGTTTAAAGTTCTTTTAAACAGTTGCTTCATTACCGCGTTGTATTGCAGCCAAAATAGAGTCTCTTCGTCGTATGAATAATCGCCCTTTTGACCAAGGTGATTGAAGTTT